TTCTAAGTGTAGTTTAAACTATAATAAAATGAGATAAATTGTGTTTGAAAATATTCTAAGTCTTTCGTAAGTTTCGTAAGTTTTCTACCAACGCTTGGCAGCCCGTGGCTGAAGTCTTTTTCAAATGTTCACTTACGAAAGACTTAGAATATTTTCAAACACAATTTATCTCATTTTATTATAGTTTAAACTACACTTAGAAAAAATTTCAACCACGGGCTACTTCCATTGGTAGCCCGTGATTTTGACAGTTAGCCCATTGGTAGCCCATCGTTTTTGTTGGGATTTATATTAGTAGCCCGTAGCCCGTTAAATGTTAGGAAAACTAATTTCACTCGACACTTAGAAAAATTTCAACCACGGGCTACTATTTTATTATAGTTTAAACTACTACACTTACAAAAAATTTCAACCACGGGCTACTTCCATTGGTAGCCCGTGATATTGACAGGTAGCCCGTCGTTTTTGTTGGGATTTATATTAGTAGCCCGTAGCCCGTTAGATGTTAGGAAAACTAATTTCACTCGACACTTAGAAAAAAATCACCTCGGGCCACCAACGCTTGGTAGCCCGTAGTTGAAATTTTTCTAAGTCTTTTTCAAATGTTCACTTACGAAAGACTTAGAATATTTTCAAAAGCAATTTATCTCATCGTTTTTGTTGGATTGATATTAGTAGCCCGTAGCCCGTTAAATGTTAGGAAAACTAATTTCAGTCGACACTTAGAAAGAAATCGATGCCGGGCTACTAGCATGAGGTAGCCCGTGATTTTGACAGGTAGCCCGTTGGTAGCACGTCGTTTTTGTTGGGATTTATATTAGTAGCCCGTAGCCCGTTAAATCTTAGGAAAACTAATTTCACTCTACACTTAGAAAAATTCGATGCCGGGCTACAGCAGGTACACGGTGAAATGTTGGGAAAACTTTTTTTACTGTACATGCCCAATATTTTACAAGAGCACAATCCTCACATTTTATTTAACCCTTTATATAAATCTAAAGTTAGTTTATTGAAAATGTTCATGATTTATGTAGCTTTTAACGCCACATACCAATACAATTCATCTTTCTAATCTCAATTGCGCTTCAAGGGATTCTAAGTTTTCAATATTTAAAAGTGTATATGTGGGCTAGGACAATTGTAGAGCCCGAAAGCTGTTAACTAATGGCACAGCTTTATGTCTTTGATACACATTTACCTTGAAAATGTATTGTACGGTGCAACAATAAGCGTTATGCACGAATGAGTTTATGTAAAGTACAACGTCTGATTGTGCGTTATAAGCAGCTTTTTTAGTTGGTGTTGTTCATTTTTTAATGCCACGTCAACGTGCTGGAAGGGTGGATTGGAAATCGGTTGATGGAGCTTTTGACAAACGAAGAAGACCGCATTTGCAACAAGACAAGAATCACTTATATCGTTGTCCTGTAAATGGATGCGAACACCCTGGATTTAGCAGTTGTCGCGGTTGCAGGAAGCATGTTTACGAAAAGCACGCTTGGTATAAATATTTCGATAAAAAACCTATTGTTATTTCAAATACTGTCAATGAAAAAGGCAATGTAATCACATCAAAAACCAAACATACAATTCCTTGTTGTTCTACGGAAAATGACGTATGTCGTTCCCTTTCGGTGTGGTTACAAAGTATACGGCTGGGGGCGTCTGAAAAGCAATCACAAATTTCAGTGACAAGGGCTCTCAAGTTTATAACATTTTGTTGTTCTGAAACGGGCGAGGACGAATTGAATGCGACTTCCTCTTTAGAAATTATAGATTATTTTCTTGGTTCTTCGAAGTTGTTAACGGGTTTCCTTGATTATCTTCAGGGTACTTAGAAAATGGGAAATTCCGGCCAATTAGGTTACATAACAAGCATATCTGAGCTGTTAGATTTTCGAAAGTTTAACTCTCCCTCCGGCGCCGTACTGCAAAATTTCTCTGTTACTGAAGTTTACATCAAGAGAGCAAAGAAATGTTTGTGAAAAGTAATGAGGTCGCACTGGACGACAGATCTTGACATAGAAACACTTGAATCAAGACGGAGTTGGGCAAGCTTAGCCGAATTCCAAACTGTAATACCCTTCCATATACCACGTTATAAGATTATATTGGACGAATGCAAAAACAAATCACCTGTTGTTAGCGCAACGAATCTTACATTTGCTACCCGATTCCTAGCAGTATTTATCTTTTATAAAGTTAAAGGCTGTAGGCCTATGACGTATCTGCATTTGACGGTTAGCATGTTTGACAGTGCAAAACGAAATAAAGGAATGGTCGATCAAACCACATTCAAAACTGCCAAAAAGTATGGCTTTGATTCCTTATATTTTGACGAAATTAGTTTGGATGTTGTTGACAATTACGTTGGCTATGTTAGGCCATTGCTGCAACCAAGGTGCGACTATTTGCTCGTCAATCGTAATGCCATTCAATTTCAAAAATTAACAGAAATCTTAAGTATATTAGTCTTTCAGGCAATCGGAAAATACGTTCATCCCACAAGATACAGGCAAATCATTGAAACTGAAAGTGTGCAAATCCTCAATGTAGAGGAGCAGAAGTTGGTTTCTGAAGATCAAAAACACAGTTCGAATGTCGCCCGAGTCCATTATCAGAAATTGCGTTCTCGAGATGTAGCTATCAAAGGGCGAACATGTATGGAAAAATTGCGTGGCTTACACGGAGCAGAAATGGACACTTGCGTTGAACAGTTAAAACAAGAACATTGTTCCGAACACAAATCAAAAAGTGATAACGAAACCACTCCCATACCACAAACAACGACAGAAAAGGTTTCTGCCGAGAAACGCAAACCCCTGAGATTCACGAAAGAAGAGGATCAGTTTATAGAAAGGGGAATTAAATGATTTGGTGCACGATGGTGCACAATCCTACGACATCCAGAATATAACTTCCAACCTGGTAGAGAAGCTAGGACACTTAGACTTCGTGCAATTCAACAAAAACTTATCTAGTGTATTTCACTCATGTACCTTGTAAATATAAATTTGCTTTGTGAATAGTTGAATAAAATTTGTGAAGTTCTATTCCTTATTTATTTATTTCTTAAACGATTCCACGCAAAACTAAATGCATTCTCGGTTGCCTTATTTTCTATTCCTGCGACTATAACACGTATAATATGTTTGCTTTGAAAATAGTTGATCAGTCTAATTTATAAATCATGTTGAAGCATAAAGTTTTCACAAACCGCAAATCCATTTAAGGTATAATCTCTTTCATATACAACAGTGCAATTCTCGTGAATATATAATATACTTCATGGAGAACAACACAATATAGTACTGCTCTTCACTATGTTATAATAGTTAGTATCGACATCGATTGAAATATCTTCATACAATACCGATCAAATAATCGAAAACTGACTTTGCTGAGGAAAGGTTGCATGCTAATTACTGGGCGAAACTTTTGGGTTTAGTTCCGAAAATAGGAACGTATATTCTTGTTCCTATCTCGCGTTATATTGCAACTTAAAACTTTAGTTCCGAAAATAGGAACGCGTTTTCGTTCCTTTCTCGTGCACCGGAACGAATAGTTCCTAAAGTGTAAAAAGGAATGAGCTGTTCCGCTTTAGTTTGTTCCTTTATAAAAGGAACAGAGTTTTTGTTCCCCCAAACAATGACGGCACTAAACGTTCCGCTTCATATCGTTCCGAAAACCAAAACAAGTCAGATAAACATATACGCCCAGAATTTAGTTTGCCTCGTTTGTTCCGCTAATGACACTAACGTTGCAATTTTCTGTCGCATTACAAAATAGGTAATGATATTCATACTTATCAACGACTATTAGCGTTAAAAGCCTACAACTAAATTGTACTAAAGCAAAAAACATCACTTAAAATTAAACAAAATATATGGAAATGATGATGATGATA